GTTTATCCTCTTGTTACCCGAGATCTGTTTATTTTGGATAGTCGTGCTGTAAATACTGTAGATTTTGGAACTGTTGCACCTTGGAGTAGTGGACTGCTCTCTATAGCTTTTAATATGTCCAAGAGACAAAGTGAGGTTTGTAATGTTTGTAATGTATGTGAATTTGCTTGTCTATTTCTCTACTTGGTGGTAAAATAGTGAAACATCAGCATCAGGGGGTAAAAAGAAGCACACAGTTCAGCTGTAAACTCTGTCTCAGTGGAACTGAATGTATTTGTCTTTTGACATCAATAAATGTCTGTGATGTGAAGAAACAAGCATTTGGAAAATCATTTACACTTGATGAAATGACCATGAGAGTGTCAGACCTTTACCTGGAGCCGATGCGACTTGACAATTATCCAGCACACACTCACTGCCACCGCTAACAAGTTGAGCTAGCATAAAAGGTCATTGCTAAACAAACTGGCTGTTCAGAGTTCTGAATACAATCATAACACTGGAAGGTTTAGTGGAGGGAAAAACTTATTTTAAAAAGGTGCACAAGTAACAGGAAGAAGCATGGTGGTGAAAGAAATGTAGAATATTATAATATTCTACAATACGCTATTAACATCTTTCTTGTGGATGCACTGCTTATGTAACTGAAGCTGTAAATAAAAACATACTGTTACCCAAGGATAAATTGCAAGAAATAATCAATTGTATTGCTATTTCAGCTCTGAACCACACTTTGCTAATGGTTTTGCTATTCCAGCCTCAATCTCAAGATCCCCACATTTTGCCTGACAGCTGATAAAAGTTTTGTTTCTATAATATGCTGTGTTTGGTTTCTCTACACCACATCCTTTTAGAAAGGAGTTTTCACTTGCATGCAGTCATATTATATATATATATATATATATATATAATATATATATATATATATATATATATATATATATATTATATATATATATATATATATATATATATATAATATATAAAAAATTCCCTTCTCACCCACCGCGGGTGGTTCTTATCCTCTGAGCTCGGGTCCTCTACCAGAGGCCTGGGAGCTTGAGGGTTCTGCGCAGTATCTTGGCTGTGCCAAGGACTGCACATTTCTGGACTGAGATGTCTGATGTTGTTCCTGGGATCTGTTGTAGCCACTGCTCCAGTTTGGGGGTTACTGCCCCGAGGGCCCCGATGACCACAGGCACCACTGTGGTCTTCACCTTCCAGGCCCTCTCCAGTTCTTCCCTGAGGCCCTGGTATTTCTCTAGTTTCTCGTGCTCCTTTTTCCTGATGTTGCAATCACTTGGTATTGCTACATCTACCACAACGGCTTTCCTCTGATGTTTATCCACTACGACAATGTCTGGTTGGTTCGCCATTACCATTTTGTCTGTCTGGATCTGGAAGTCCCACAGGATCTTAGCTCTGGCGTTATCCACCACCTTTGGGGGTGTCCCACTTTGATCTCGGGGTTTCCAGTCCATATTCTGCACAGATGTTTCTGTACACTATGCCTGCCACTTGGTTATGTCGCTCCATGTACGCTTTCCCTGCCAGTATCTTGCACCCTGCTGTTATGTGCTGGACTGTCTCAGGGGCCTCCTTGCACAACCTACACCTTGGGTCTTGTCTGGTGTGGTAGATCTGGGCCTCTATTGCTCTGGTGTTTAGGGCCTGTTCCTGGGCTGCCAGGATGAGGCCTCTGTGCTGTCCTTGAGTCCAGCTTTTTCCAGCCATTGGTAGGATTTACTGATATCAGCCACTTGGGTTATTTGCTGGTGTACATCCCATGTAGGGGCTTGTCCTCCATGATGGTATCTCTGGCACCTCAACCTCTGTTCCCTGTTGTCTGAGACATTCACTGAGCACATTGTCTGTTGAGGCTTTGTCCCTGATGTATTTATGGATCTTAGTTTTCGTCCTGGACAGTGGTTCTCACACTCACTAGTCCTCTGCCTCCGTCCTTGCGGCTCGTGTACAGTCTCAGGTGCTGGATTTGGGATGGAACCCTCCATGCATGGTTAGTAGCTTTCTAGTCTTAATATCTGTGGCTTTTATCTCCTCCTTTGGCCAGCTGATTATTCCAGCAGGGTATCTGATTACTGGCAGGGCATAGCTGTTTATCGCACGGATTTTGTTCTTGCCATTGAGCTGGCTTCTCAGGACTTGCCTTATTCGTTGGAGGTATTTAGCTGTGGCTCCTTTCCTTGTGGCCTCATCGAGGTTGCCATTTGCTTGTGGTATACCTAGGTACTTGTAACTGTCCTCTATGTCTGCTATTGTTCCTTGTGGGAGTGAGACTCCTTCTGTGTGGATCACCTTCCCCCTCTTTGTGATCAGCCGACCACACTTCTCTAGTCCGAATGACATCCCAATGTCCGTGCTGTAGATCCTTGTGGTGTGGATCAGTGAGTCGATGTCTCGCTCACTCTTGGCATACAGCTTGATGTCATCCATGTAGAGGAGGTGACTGATGTTGGCCCCATTTTTGAGTCTGTATCCGTAGCCAGTCTTGTTGATAACTTGGCTGAGGGGGTTCAGGCCTATGTAGAACAGGAGCGGGACAGAGCATCTCCTTGGTATATGCCACATTTGATGGACACTTGTGCAAGTGGTTTGCAGTTGGCTTCAAGGGTGGTTTTCCACAGCCTCATCGAGTTTGCAATGAAGGCTCTCAGAGTCCTGTTGATGTTATACATCTCTAAGCATTCAATGATCCAAGTATGCGGCATTGAGTCATAGGCTTTCTTGTAATCAATCCAAGCCATGCACAGGTTGGTGTGTCGGGTTTTGCAGTCTCGGGCAACTGTGCGGTCTACGAGGAGTTGGTGTTTGGCTCCTCTGCTATTTACACCGATACCCTTCTGTGCCGTGCTCATGTGTTTATCCATGTGTTTGCTTATCTTGGCCGCTATGATGCCTGACATGAGCTTCCAGGTTGTGGAGAGGCAGGTTATTGGTCGGTAGTTGGGTGGGACTGGACCCTTTGATGTATCCTTCTGGATTAGGATTGTCCGCCCTTCAGTTAACCATTCAGGGTGAGTCCCACTTTGTAGCAGCTGGTTCATTTGGGCTGCCATTCGCTCATGGAGAGCAGTGAGTTTCTTTAGCCAGTAGGCATGGATCATGTCAGGCCCTGGTGCTGTCCAGTTTTTCATACCTGAGACTCTTTCTTGGACATCTGTCACAGTGATGGTTACCGGGGCTTGCTCAGGGAGGTTGCTGTGGTCCTCTCGTAGAGAGATCAGCCACTGTGCATTGCTGTTGTGGGACGCCTCCCTTTCCCATAAGCCTTTCCAGTATTGTTCCGTCTCCAGCCTTGGTGGGTCTGCTCTGTTGTTATTGTTACCCTGCCATTGAGAGTACACCTTAGCTGGTTGAGTGGAGAAGAGCCGGTTAATCCTTCTGGATTCATTCTCCCTTGTGTATCTCTTTAGGCGGCTGGACAAGGCTTGGAGCCTCTGTTTGGCAGTTTCGAGTGCCAAACAGCTGACTGGATAGCTTAATACATAAGGCATCAGTATATCACCCGAGAGGGCGGGGTTCGAATCCAGTCTGGGTCCTTAGGCAAGACCCTTCAAGCTACTGCCTACCTCATACCATGAGGTAGGCAGTAGCCTACCTCATGCATAACATGCCGGCTCAGACGTCGCCCGGCCAAACAAGGTCTGCGTCAGGTGTTGGGGAACCAGAGCACCTTGATGACAAATGGGCTACTGGAACAAGACGGAAATGGGCGAGAGATGAAAATGTGGATCTGTTGGAATGCTACTACTCAAGTAACCCTAGTCAGAGAGGTTACATGCAAAGACTGGGGAAGGAATGGTTACTTCGACATCCCCAGTCAACACTAAGCGCTAAACAACTAGTAGCTCAGTGTTCCAACATCCACAAACGGCAACTGCTATCACAACTTGAGATTGACGAGATACAACAACACAAATGCTACGGCAAAAGGGAGGAACCCGGATGTCAGAACTGTGGGGACTTAACTACAAGTCCCCACCCAGTGAGGGGATACACGGCCCCAATGAGCGAAACAGAGCTGAACGAGACAGCTGCTGACCTGAGAGAGAGAATCATGACCCGAATGACAACCAGACCTCCCCAATTACAACGGCTGAGTGAAGTACCATCTGAAAGTCTCATTGAGAATGTGAATGCAGCATTGAGAACGATCCCTACCAGCACCATAACAGAAACCAATATATATATATATATATATATATATATATATATATATATATAGAACTGGAGGATGTGGTGTGTGAGATGCAGCTCCTGGGTTATTTGCAGTTTTTCTAAGAAAGCTATTCAGAAAAGAATGGCAGTTGTCTTAAGTGCTTTTCACTTATGACAGAAGTTCTCACTGCAGAGTGTTGAAATCATAGCTTGTAAAATAGAACCCTCCTAACCCAAGAATTGCTTCTCTGAGAGTTACTAGCTTGACACGCGAATGTTCCAGACCGGCAAGCTGACAAAACTTCTGGAAGTTCTGGACAGTCGGGTAGTAAAATAAAAGTCCCTTGCAGTTTTGTTTAGTTTTAGGTCGACAAAGTCTATATGACCTGTGTTGTTCGTCTGTTTGATTTTCTAAATTTACCAAAGACAAAAGGATCAAGCTGGCATTTGCTTCTGATAATCTTTTTTTTTTTTTACCCCAAGTCAAGATTCAGGTCCTGAAGAACCAAGAGCAACCAAAGTCAGGTTTCAAATATCTGATGACAATAATAATAAATAATAATAATAATATGACATTCTCATATCAAAAGCATGTCATCTTGTTTTTCTATAAGATCACATCATTGTAGGATGTATTTAAATTATGATTCTTTTAATTTAACTCCAAACCATTTCATACTTTATCTTGTTCAGAAGATTTAATTCAGTTTGTTAAAGAACAGCTATTTCAATATTTTCAATTTCTGTCATTTGAGCTACACAATATATTGCAAATTCAGCATTACGGCAGAGCGCAAAGAGCCATCTAAATGTTTGTCAATTATTAAAATACCATGCAATAAAAGGTTTTGAAGACACAGTAAGTAAATGAAATTGTTAAAAAGTATTTTTGTTTTAATGTCAGCAGATGTTGTCTACTAGCAACCCATTTGATAAAACATTTACCAGATAAGTTACTATTTTCCAGTAGCTTGGTAAACTACTAATTATCTGGGGTCTGTGCTTGTTATGAACTCAAAGTTATAAGGCATTCACATCTTTGAAATGCTTAATCATCACAAATGTTACTAATGTCACAATTCACCGATGTGATTAGCACGTTTTGTAATGCTGCTGTCTTTTTTGAAACTTAGGTTAGCTATCATTAGAAGTAAGTATAAGTTATAGTACATGTAGACAAGCATTCATGTTCTTGGAAAAGTACTAGGAACAATTTGACAGTTTTACGTCCATTTTCTGAGAGAATCACATCAAGAAGACTTATTTTTCAAGGTGTTGGAAGTAAGCTTATTTGCTTACACATTGCCCCAAGTCACTTACGTTAGACTATTGCAATCCTACAACTAACATGCAGATTGTTGTGAGCCATGCATAGTTTGACGGTCTGTGAATGTTCCTGGTTAATACATCAAATGCACCTTTCAACAGGACAATATGTACATCATTTGTAACAGTCGTGCTCTGTGGTTTACTGTAGCCTTTAATAATGAACACGGCTGCTGATAACTCCTTTTACCAGCAGGTACTGGCAAGAAACGTCACAGAGAACCAAAAGGTATACTGTGTATAAACACTACATTTCCACAGGTCAAACACCATTAATACTTTATTAAAACAATCTCTAGTCAAAAGCTTACTTTCAGCTCTACTGCATCAGGAAAAGATTGCCTCAAAAAGTCTGTTTTTGCCACTAAAATGAAGAGGCAAGTCTCCAACTTTTGGACTTAGAAAACTGCAATTGACTGTGTCTTAGTCTTTTTTTTAACAAGTCCCTTTTAGCTTTATCATTGTTTCATGCATGACATGATGGAAACTGTCAAGTATAATTCAGTGCAATTTGAACTTTATGAATACCTGTTGAAACTCAGTTTAACATTTACATGTTAAACTCTTAAAATTGAGGGTGTGCTTTCATTTCATTTTAGTTTTAATAGATGAATAACTCCTGAAAGCTTGTTTAATACTCTGAGACCAAATTTCAATAGTGACCTTTAAATACCATTTTGGAAACACCTAATTCAACTGATCTGAGTGTAAATGAAACAATCATTTAAGCCTTTGATTTATAAAAAAAAGAAAAGGATTTAAAAACATCTATTTCACTTTCTGTGGGGGTGAGGGAAGGGTCAGTACCAGATCCGACATGTGTTATCCTTGCTGCCTGCAGGGAAGCACAAACATAAACAGGTGGTCACGCAGAAGGACACAGCTGGATGCTTTTCATCTCACATTTGCAATTAAGCAAATATGACAGCTAGCATGGAGGATTTCATTCACTCCTCAAGGATATTTAAAGTGCAAGTTTGTCACACTAACATGTGACAGTGAGACGTTGTGTCTCTTCAGTTACCTGTAATGATGGTGTCCCCCTCATAGTTGAAGGCACAGGAGAAGATCTCATCCTTGTGGCCCTCCAGGATTTGAAGGCAGGCTCCAGACTGAACATCCCACAGACGGGCTGTCTTGTCCGAGCTGGCCGTCAGGACCCTGCTGCCCTGGGGGCTGAAACAAATCTGCAGGGAGAGTCTGGCGTCACTCAGAAGTTTGTGTTTTCAACGTGAGCATTGATGAAATCATCTATGGTAATACTTAGCAAAATAAATTCTCATAAAAATGAACTGTGAAATAGCCCAGGGTTCATCATTCCCTAAATTGTTTTATTTTCTAACAGAGAGGTAGAAGAAAAGAAAATTAAATTAATTGGGTGCTAGGAGGCTATTACCATAAAGTAGGCCTTTATTAAAAACCCTAAAACGATCCCAGGACAGAGACTGAATAATGAGAAGCTGGATGATCTGCTGATGTTCAGACCTTTGTTGCTTAAACGAAACTTCATAATTTGTGGTTGATGAGGTTGCTGCATGCCTTTTGCTACATGTATCAGAAAAAACAAAACATATGAAGGGATGAATCTTAAAAGGTTACAATTCACAGAGGATTTCTTTTGCTATTAGTTTTGCTCTATATACCTTTCGGATACTCTCCTTTAAACAAGTGTTGTAGTTAGTCTTGATGTGTGTCCAGGTTTAATACTGCAGATCTAAAACTCTTTCCATGATATATTTTTAGATGCTTCCATTAAAGGCAGACTAAAGTTAAATTTCCTTCCCTTTAGCTTTGGAGCAAGCCACTGAGACTGTGAAAGCCAAAATTCATAAAAGAGGACATTTTCCCATTAGGGGGTAATTTAGACTTTACTGAAAAGCAGGAATGAAGCTAATGGGGTGTCCAAGATAGGAAGGATTCCTGTGATAAGTAGCTTCATAATAAACACAGAAGATGTCACATTCACTGCAATTCAAACAGAAGCTCGCATTTCAGTGATTGGCATCAGTTTCATTTCATCACGAGGCTATCATTTCCTTTTTGAATAAAATATAGTGAAGGTTAGCAAGGTGAATTGGCACATTGAGACTGGAATATGTTGAAATGAGAAGAAAAAGCATGAAGGGTGAGGTGCTGAAACAGAGTGAAACATGTTTAACATGCATGTAGGGGAGGGGGAGAAGCCTCCTGTTAGAAACAGATTAGTGTCATAATCCTCTGGAATCATCCTCCGTGCTGCCTATTTTTTACTGCCTGTCTGTGTTGTAGTAAACACATCCAGAGGAGGACTCTGAGTAAGATCCAGAGGAAAATAAGCTCATGAATAACAAATGTCAAAAAATCACTTGCCTTTAAGAACAGGGTAAATGCAGGGCCAGACAAATCACAAATTATGCAAAAGCATGCATCCGCTTGACTTCACAAATCCGTGTAACACCAGGTTAACAGTCTCTTTTTTATGCCAGGATTTATGTGTCAAGGCACGCTGTAATGATTGTGCTTTAAGTGGAACGACTGACGGCACAAGGTCAGACTGACAATCAGACCTCCTGAAGCCTGTGCTACTGTCTCTCCATTTCAGCATCACACTTTGTCTTATTTTAGCAAGGTTACCATAGATCCTTCCTCTTCCAAATTACGCAACGCTGTGAGGAGGTTTACTTAACTTTTGATGGCTGACATATTTGTCATCTGATTGCTTGACCTGAATTTTAAAATCGGTACCCTACCCACACATTGCAGCATAAACATACATTTATGCTAATGTTTTAATATTTTGAAAATTATCTGCAGAACAAAATCAAGTAACCCAAAACCCAATATTGGCACAGACTGAAAACAGAAATTGGTCAACCAACCCCCAACCTACCTTGGAGATTTCCTTGCTGTGGCCCTTCAGTGTCACCAAACACTGATGTGTAGCTGCATTAAATATTTTAGCTGAACCTGAAAAAGAAAGAAAAGGCTTATGTTTGTTTGATGCAAAACCTCAAAAAGTTTATTTGGGAGGCATCAAATAAACTTATAAGATAGTTTTTAATGCAATGGTACGGTCTCACCATCAGCGGAAGCTGTTGCGATGAGCTGACCGCTTAAATCAAAACACACATCCAACACCTCTTCTGTATGTCCAACTAGGGTGGCCACACATTTCCCACTGGCCGCGTCCCACAGCTACAAAAAAAATACACATCACTTTGATTCACATCAAGACATTTCTCTTAAAAATAACACAAATAAAAGAGGCTAATTCAAAACAGAGAAAGGCCAGGCATACAAACAATAAAGAAAATAGTTATTGCAGACCGCTGTTGGCCGTTTGCTCCAGCTTTATTTTAGCATTCAAGTTAAATAACGAGAGGATTTGTAGGAGAGATTCAGTCGGGCATTAATACTAGATTGGATTTGAATAATTTTTCCATGAAATGGTTCAGAACTTAAAGACAGAAAGGACATTTGACAGGATTCGCTCTACAAGTAGGGACATTCCTCACTTAAATATCTACAGTCTCTAAAAACAGCTAAACAAGATTTTCAGTAAATGTCAACATGTACGGTTATTTTATTATTATTCCAGATTTAAAAAGTGCTAAAACAGTCAAAGAATCAAAAGTCACACCAATTCCTACCTTACAGGTTTTGTCAGTGGAACCAGAAGCTATGAGAGAACAATCCCAGTTGAACTGAACATTACTTATTTCTCCCATGTGACCTATCAAAGTGTGAACCCGTCTAAGACAAAAAAAAAAAGACAAGAAATTTTTTTATAAATATAGAATGTGCATGTACAAACTAAATGATGACTCATTACAACTGGACGCATTCACAGCAACAGTAATAACATCTGACCTTTTGGAAGCAACATCCCATATAGCAACTGTGTAATCAAAAGAGCCAGTGACGAGATGATTGCCAACTGTGTTAAAGCACAAAGAGAGGACCTCTACGGTGTGGCCCTGGAAGTACGAAGAGAAAGAACATCACTCCCCGCTGACTCATATCTGCTCTCTGTTATATTCTCGCTCTTTCTCTGCATCTCACAGAAAGAGTTTGGCTCAAGAATTGATTTTCCTCATCATTACAGATGGAGTTCACATCATTTAGCTCTACATGATTTGAGGAATTAAAACATCTGAAAGAATTCCTCCTAACTTTGAGCCTGCAAATCTCTGAATCAACAGCATTAATTGCCGAAAAGACTTGTTTTGGTGGTGGATTTTTTTGTTAAATTCACAGCTTTATATAATTCACAGCTATGCTGTGAAGTACACATGCTGCCACCAAACACAAAAGAACAACTGTCTTAGGAAGTTTTAGTAACAGTTACTTTTACAATATGTACATTACTCAAAATACATGAGAACTGCAGGATAAGCGAGCGGTACAGAACAGATAACTCACAGTCAGTGTGGCCACCTCCTCCCCACTTTCCACATCCCACAGCTTTGCGGTGGCATCCATGCTGCCTGTGGCCACCAGTGTGCTCTGAGGGTTGAATGCCAGACACACCTACACAACAGATTCTTCCTTTTACACTTTGATATTTTACTTTCTGCAACAAAACTAGAGACATGACCTGGATGTACTTAATACATTAAAGTTCAATGTGAAGCTATGATTATTTATAAATGATTATCATTTATTTTGTTGAATCCTCAGTTTACCTTAGTCCTACTCAAATGCCAGCCAATAAAATGCATGAATTCTTAACATGCAAAAGTGTTTATTACATGTGATGCAACAACTATGTATGAATGGTTGTATTTTGTCTTTCATTCCATATTTTTTCATTAGTGTTGCACAAATATATAGTGTGCTCACACCACATATAGAACAAACCACATTTTCACTCTTAATCATGTTATAACCATAAATTATGTGCATTTTCCTGGGATTTTATGTGAAAACATTTATTTTTAAAATCCATCATTCATTTTCTTCCCCTTCACAGATATGCACTATGTTGTGTCATTATATTACATAAAAAAACAAACAAAATATGTTGAAGGTTGTGGTTGAAACCCAACAAAATCTGAAAATAAAGTGTATAAATACTTTTATGAAGGCACTTATAAGGTACTTCTTAAATTAGTACTTCAAGATTTTGGGGGTTATAATAAGAGTTGAAATTACAGTGAGTTGGAAGAAAAAAACTCTAAGAAATTGGAGGTAAAACTTTATCTTATTTGATGGACTTAGACGATCTTCTTCCTAGCCAATGTCATGGACATAACTACGAAAATTTGATTTTCTCTCCATGTTTTCTGTCAGAGGACAGCATTAATTTAGCCAAAATCAAATCATATTATTGATCCTTAACACAAACTGTTTAAAAACATACAGTAATTGACAAATTCAAGCTTAAAATACCTACTATTTCAGCCCTGTGTCCACAAAAAGTATGGAAACATTTGCCTGTTTCTGCACACCACAGTTTGCAAGTCTTATCGAAAGAGCCTGTGGCAATCTTGTCTCTAGGTTTCATGAGGGGGAAAGACAGTAGGAAATGTAAATTTTGTTTTGAACGTTCAACGGAGCAGCAAAATTCTCATATGTGATAAAACAGCTCGTTACCCATAGGGATTGTTGAATGCGATTGCATATACAACGTTTCTGTGCCCCTCAAGTGTGTGCAGCTCTGTGCCAGAGGCGGTGTCCCAAACTCTACATGTTCTGTCATAACTTCCAGTTATGAACCTGCAGAATTTGAGAGAAAAGAGTAACAACAACACAGTAAGTAACAGCATGAGACTATGAGAGAGGGCAAAGGTTCGAGTTATTGGGACCACCGGATTATAAGATCATACCGCTGGCATAGCTAAAGCAAAGTCTGTTTTATTATAACAACAAAACACATATAAAACTGAGAATTTTAGATAAGTGAAATTAAAATATATATTAAAAAAATACAAGAAAAAATCTGAAAATAGTTATTTGGGACAATTTGCTTTGTTCTGAAATACATTATAAGGTTTTCCACCCAGATATTTTTCAACAATTCTAGTCTTTTTAGAAAACTAGCTACAGCCATTGCATCTGCCAGATACTTTTTTTTCTTCTTTTCATTCTTAGCTTGAGAGTTCAGCTCTTTCAAAAAGATTTTCACAGGGATTCAGTTCTCATATTGCTGATGGCCAACAATCAGTCTACATTTTCCCCTTCAAAGCTTTATTTTGCTCTTTGTGAAGTAATTGCGGATCAAACGAGCAATTCTGTTTTGTTAATGAGATTTGTAGGTTTGTCATCATCATTTATTTGCAAAACGGGGCAATGACAGCTAACTGCATTTACGCTTCTCACCTTGATCCAGACTTATTAAAGGCAATATTGGTCAGGGGCAGTATGTGTGCCTTCAGCACCTGCAAAATGAATAGAAATGATAGATAAAATATTAAAAGAAAACGTTCCAAGGCAATGTTGACTTAATTAATAATAAAAGTTACCAATTCAACTCCATGTGTAAAATGAATCCATCACTGAAATGAGCAAGCATCTCTCTCCTGACCTATGAGTGTTGGATTAATATGTTCTTTTCTCATTAAAAAGTTGGGGAAACTCACTCAAGCAACTGATAAAAAACCCCCACTATTAAGCAATCTTAATGAACTTACACATCAAGCACTGTTTACTGCCATGGCTTGAGAACCGAAACCACTAGTGCTCTCTAGTGACAATTTGGTGGTATGGCTACTACTATAACAGCTGGACTTCATGCATTTCCCACAAATTCAGGATGGCGACACCATAGTAAAAATATATATAGAGAGAATAGAAAGGTACCGAAGTAAGCAAAATTATTTAATTATTAGTCACATAAAAATAATACTTAGAATGACTTTGCGAAGTCAATAGATCACCTTCAGCACTTTTTCCCCCATTTGAAAATTAAAATATAGATTCAAACACTTCCTTGAAAGAAAACCCGAGCGATGATGCATTTGGGAAATGAAAAATTCCGATCTAATTTATTTCATTTTGATTGCACGTCAAAATAAATGAATAAATATATAAATAAATAAACTGACCTTGCAGAAACAGAACCTGTGGTGGTCCTGCTGACCCTGTTTCTGTTGGAGTCGGAGAACCAGCTCTTTGACCTGTTCGGCCCGGGACTCTGTGATCAGAGGCTCTGATTGTCTGATTTCTGTCACCAGCTCATCTGTATTTGTTCTGTGAAGAGCGAATGCAAAGCATGGGAAATCAGTAAGTTAGTATAAAAAATAAAATAAGTCCATCCATCCTAATTGAAGGACCAAAACTCACGCACTCAGGTGTTAAATCCAGCAGGTCGATGGATTTGGTCCTCAAACAGCCTCCTCGCTCATATTCCAGGATTATACCTGTCGAAAGAAGCAAATAAATAACCGGTGCATTAAACAGCCTGCGAGTTTTGAGTTTATGTAGAACAGAATTATCTTTTGTCAGCTTCATTTAACGGGGCAAATGGAGTTTAAAGCCATTACCGTGGAAGTTGGAAAGTTATTCACAGGACTGTCATGTTCTTTATAAGAATGTTAAAGCCACATTAAGTACAATAAATAAAAATACAAATTAAAAAAACGTAAAGTTACCGGGTGGATAATATCTGAGAAGAAACCTCTTGAGTCTCATCTTCTGCCGCAGACCACAACAAACAGTCGCTAGGCGACGACAGCGCGTGCCCCGCTTCACACATGCGCAGAACGGGTTAAATGGGTGGCTCGAGATGGGCGCAGATTAAAAACAAAGAAAAGAAACACGTTCAGAGAAAATGACTCTTATCATTGTCGATGCATATAAAAGCACAGAACGTTTCAACTTTTTTGTAGTTGCCTCTCCGAAATTATTTTCGACTTTCTTAATGATTATTAAACTGTACTGCACTACTTTAGAACTGTATGAATATATTCAGATTATTGAGATTTTGTGTGAAGAACTATTATTATTACATAAATGAACGTTTCGCTCAGTCTACTGTAATGCAACATAACATAATCTTGGTTCTCAATTGTTCCTGTATATATACTTCAAATCAAGCTCACATAGCCTCCCCCTCTGAACTGACTGAACTTGTGCTACTTTGCAAAGAACAATGGGACAAATATAATTCTCAGTGCATGCAAAGTTTCTTAGCCTTACCCTAAAATAGTTTCTAGCAGAATGTAAACAATATTTATTTCTAACAAATTTTGTACAACCACATATCATTTTCTATCTATGCACTACTGCATGATTTATCACATAAAATTCCATCTAAAATATTTTTGCCATTCGTCTGGTGATTTGCAACACACTTTAGATGTATTTAATAAGCATGAATACATTTAGAAGGCAGTTTACCCTTCAGTAAAGTTTTCTACTAATTACTTTCAACTTGCCAAGTCTTCTAATCGACAAACAGATCAAAGTCTGCTTACAACCCAGTATTGATTAGAGTGTGTGTTGCTCATAAAGATTGCAAGCTTCTTGTGTCTACTGATAGCTTTAACAGAAATCCACCTAAGAGATACCGAGAAGCCAGATACCTCTTCTAAGAAACTTATTATTTCAAAGAGAAGCAACACAAAATTCTGTAGAAGCCATACTATGGGGTACTGGGCAAAATTGAAGTCTTCTGGATGGGCTTACCCCACCATGGTGCTGTCAATCTATGGCTTTCTTGCTAATTGCCGAGTAGCAGAGCCCTTCCTTACACCTTACCTAATTGGACCAAACAAGAACATTTCTGAAGAGGTGGTACGTATTTCACACACATTTTATTATAGACATACATAATATAGACATTATATAACTCAGCATTTCTGATCTTGCTGCTTTTTGCTCGCAGGTGACCAACTATCTGTTTCCTGTTTGGACATACTCATACCTGACCTTTCTTTTACCAGTTTTCCTCCTGACTGACTTTCTGAAGTACAAACCTGTCATTATGGTACAGGGACTCTTTCTTGTCAGCAACTACCTCTTACTATCCTTTGCTCCTGGCCTGCCTGCAATGACCTTCCTTCAGGTCAGTAAGATACCAGTCCTGTAACATCTGTAACAAAGGTTTCTTCATTGCCTCCTTGTCACTGTCAAAGAAAAGCATTTCCATAGTAAAATGCTGTCACTGTTTCATGATGGGTAAATAGAAATGCATGGCCAAATCAAATATGGATGTCTTACTCATCTCATAAATTTAAATTCTCTAAAGTCATGTATCATTATCTTTCCACTAGTCTATCACATAAGAGTTTGCTGTTGTAATGTGAAAGTGCTAAAAAGTAAAAAGTTCAAGGGATGTAAATACTTTTGCAACGCTGTGTTTTGTCCTCTAACTACAGTAAATGTTAACAGGAATACAATCTTCAAGTTTACCAGATTTGCAACAATGCCTCATAATGAGAAACAGTTTTTGGAGAGACTGCTTTGTCTCATTTACAGGTCAACTTTGGAATAGTGACTTCCACAGAGGTCGCCTACTTCTCTTATATCTACAGCGTGATTCCACTAAAAAACTATCAAAAAGCTACAAGTTACCTGCGTAGCGCCATGCTGACGGGATATACATTTGGTGCCAGCCTTGGCCAAATGCTTGTTTCTCTTGGAGGTAATGATTTTAAAAGAATGATTTTTCATTAATACTCAAAAGCAACAAGCAGTATGACATTTTTTTCTATATACATAAGACAAACTGACAAAAAAAAGAAGAGTTGGTGTAAACGGTGAAACCAACATTGTACAAACTCTTATTATTATTATCTATTTCATTCACAGGAGTGGATTATTTCTACTTGAATGCTATAACTCTGGGGATTGTTTGCACAGCTTTTCTTGTCTCTTTCTGGTTGCCCATGCCCAAAAGGACCATGTTCTTCAAAGCGGAAGAGGCTTTGGGCTCCTTGTCGCAGAAGAAAGAGTCACTCAAAAACAATGGACCGAGAGATTCAGGGGAGGACAAGGATGGAGAATCCTTGGAGGATGAAAAAATGGAGCATGCTGGCAGCGCTGGCTGGTGCAGCAGGGAAAGTGTGATCACTGCAGGTCCCTTACTTTGGAAAAGCTTTAAGGAATCATACTCTTCTAGGTGTGTTTCTCATACAGAGCTTTGCAAAAGTGTTTGTACCCCTTGAAATTTTATATTGTCACAAACCTCAATATAAATCATTTGGCTTTATGTACTAGATTGACATGACGTAGTAGCATTAGGAAAATTAAAAATTGTTTCAATTATTTTTTATAATGGAGTTCATATGCCTCTATCAGTCAATTCTTTGTAGAATCATCTTTGCTTCAATAACAGCTTCAAGTCATACTGGGCAATATTTCTACCAGCTTTGAAAACCAGAAACATTCATTTCTGAGTCTTTTTAGCTCAAGTCACACAGATTGGATGAAAGGTGTCTGCAAAAATAAGTTTTCAAGTTTTGCCAAAAATTCCCCCAAATTTTCACTAACTAAGGAGGAATATGTTTTGATCCAAACCCCTTAAACTGTAACTATATCTGTAGGTTTATGCTCAAACTTCAGTTGAACAGCAAACTTCTTCCCTAGTTACTTATTTTATTTATTTTTTTGTCTGGAAAAATGTTGAAAATCAGGTATTAGTTTCCCATTCCTTCCAGTTCACAGTTATATGCACATTTGTGTTGGTCTGTCACATGAAATTTTAAATGAAATATGTTGATGTTTGAGGTAACTTTACACAACATTAAAAAGTTAAAAAGACATGAATGCTTTTGCAAAGCACTATTTTAGTAATTCCCCTGATCATAATATTTTGTCTCATTTTTCACAATGCAGGCATTTAGTGTACTGGTCCTTGTGGTGGGCGTTGGCCACGGCCGGCTATATGCAGATCTTTAACTACATCCAGCTTAAGTGGGACCATATAGAACCATCTGCCACATCATCTGTCTATAATGGAGCTGTAGAAGCTGTATCTTCTGTTGTTGGTGAGTCTGAAGTTATTTTCATGTTGAAACAATTTTCAACATCTTGAAAATTGTTTAAATGTCACTTCAACAAATCATTATAAGATAAATCAGAGAAATACCTTCTAGACTTTAGATTTCTAGAAAAACAAAATTCTTATACAACACAAGATTTTCTACTTTGCAAATTTATGGATGGAAGGGGAGAACAAAGCATCACATCCAACAAGTAACATTTAACAACATTGCTTAAAGCTGCCACAACTGATAACACCGAGACATGTGAAAATTGCAATCAACAAAATAGACAAGCGCACTGGGGCTGGTTATATGTGGTGACTGATTAAATGGAAAATGTGTATTGATTTTGAAAGAGAACAGCAGCACCGGGTTCCTTTTGGCTCACGCTCAGCCTGGCTCAGCGTGAGGGGAAGTAGAGTAATTGCTTCAATTAAAGAGAGAGACAAAAGTTAATGGATTCTCTGATTATTGCTGGTGGTAGATTCTAAGTGCATCTTGCAAGAGGTTTATCAAACCGGGCTAAGGAGACCAGCTTAAGGATGCACACGATTTGTTACTGTCACCGCTTGAGGAAAGAGATGATGGCCTCGGGGTAAATTAATGAATCAAAATGGGTAGGGTGTACATGGAAGAACCAGTTATCTGCTTCATATTTCAGGTGCTGCTGCAGCATTCTCTGTGAGCTTCATCAGGGTGACCTGGACCACGTGGGGAGAGCTGACCCTGGGGCTCTTCTCGGCTGTATGCTCAGGTGCTGTGTATCTGATGGCATTCACCAGCAGTATCTGGGCGTGCTATGCTGCATATGTCTTATTCAAATCCTGCTACATGTTTCTCATTACCATCACAATGTAAGCTCAACATATAGTTCCTCCTTTTTTCACTCAAAGTTCACTTATGGTGGCTTTTCATATATTTGATATATTTGTCCCAAATTTAAAAATCACAAGGTAAACCGTTTATTCAGACGTGAAAGCTTGGATTCTTATAAGGGAGATAAATTCTCTAGGAAATATGAGTCAGCTAAAGTTTAAACATAAAACTTTGGCTTGATACATAAATCTTACTTCTGTAGTGTTCTTTTGATATTTTCTTCAGATGTTTACAGTATTTGTTACGCTGAAGTTAGAGCCAAAATAATTTTCATAAAATTTGAAATAAAATACAGTGACGATACAGAAAATCCTATGGATAAATACAACAAGCTTATGGAAAATGTCAACAGGTCCTCAGTTGCGTAAACAAGTGTTTATCCCGTAAACTGATAAACACTTGTTTATCAGTTTACAACTGATAAACACTTGTTTATCAGTTTACGGGAGATAGAGTCACAGTGTAAATATGATCAATTATCTAGAGTTGTTTGTGGATTGTTTTTAAAGTTCAACATATTGGCACATAATAACCTTTGCTAATACTGAAATCGCTGAACTCAAGTCTACACCAGCAATATTTAATTTGTTCAAGTAATTTCAAGTAACTCTGATTATGGATATCTCCAATAGTCTAATATTAAAGAAGGGTTCCTCTCCTGGTTGTGTTTCTGTAGATTTCAGATAGCATCCAACCTCTCCATGGAGTGTTATGCTTTGACGTTTGGGATCAACACGTTCATAGCCCTCTTACTGCAGACTATTGTCACAGTCATTGTTGTGGATGAAGCCGCACTGGGACTGGACATTGTCACCCAGGTATACTGTTTTCACTCATTGTTTAATTGATTTCTTTTTCAAATGGCAGCAAGTTGGGACTTAACTCTAACTGAACACACTAGGATAAGTTTGTGACTAAGGAGGGACACCTTGTGGTAATGTTTGGCCATTACAAGAGGATTTGTTTAATACTGTTGAGTTAATGGTTAATTTGAAAAGTTTAATGTTTCTGCTGCTGGCAAATGTTTCTTTCTGTCGTTCTGCAGTTTATCATCTATGGCAGCTACTATGCTGCTATCTCAGTTCTCTTTCTCATCCGAGGGACCTACACCGCCTGCGTACGTCAGCGATCTGTGGATCAGACAGAAATGAGGGGAAAAGAATCAGGTGGAGAGGTGATCTCTACTGAACGTTTCTGATCATAATCAATAAAACTATTATGCCTGTAAAAAATGCTGACTGGCCTTGTGTTTTGTTTTTCCCCAACAAATCTCAAGCTGTAAAATCTTCCGATATTTTCTGATAAGAATTAAGCCTAGAAAGGATGATTTACAATCACCGGCACCTTCCTGCTCTTTGACCTGGCTCTTGATTAGCAAAACCAGCACTAAACTTGACTAACTAGATGATCAACCCTGACAGGCACACAAGACCAAAGTAGCTGCAGCCACTAAGCACACATACACATACCAAAGCCAAGCAGGCAAAAATGGAGCGTGTGAAAAGACTGAGCTCAGACTGGCGATATCCCACCACTTTGCTGTTTGTCTATGGATTCTTCAGCACAGTGAAGCCGCTGGAACCTTTCCTCATACCGTTCCTGACAGGACCAGACAAGAATCTGACCACTGAACAGGTACAAAACTACAGCTAAACAACTAAAGGGCATCAGAAAACAACTGATTCGAAAGATTTACTCAATTTCATGCATAAATCAGCAATTATATGGATTATAGTTTGTTGTGAAGTATTTTGTTTTTCTTTTGTCCTGATCATATGTTATCGGAAAATAGAACTTAGAACAGTTTTTGTATGTTTTTCTGGTTTTATCTCTCCATGTCAGGTCAACAATCAGATTTTTCCTGTGTGGACATACTCCTACCTATCCGTGCTGGTGCCGGTCTTCCTGCTCACGGATTGGCTACGTTACAAACCTGTGGTGGTCTTCCAGTGTGTGATGCTCTTAATCACCACTGCTCTGCTGAGGTGGACAGAGAGCGTGTCGGCCATGCAGGCTATGCAGTTCTGCTATGGGGTGGTCACTGCCAGCGAGGTGGCCTATTTCTCCTATATCTACAGGTCATGTCATGCAACTAAAAGTACAATCAGAGTTTGGACTGTGTGGCGTGAGAGTGGATCTGACAGTTATCCCAAATTTTTGTTTATTGCAGTGTTGTAGATCTAAAAAGATACCGTAAGGCCACGTCTTACAGCCGCAGCGTCCAGCTTCTTGGATACACCGTGGGCTCGGTGCTGGGTCAGCTGCTTGTCAGCTTCGACCTCATGTCCTACAACAACATCCTCGTGTTTACTTTGGTACTCACAGCCATCGCACTCGTTGCCTCCTGCTTGCTGCCCATGCCACAGAGAAGCATGTTCTTCCACAGAAAACATTCTGGAGAGAGAGCGTCAGAGGAAGGTGCAAAGAGGCACAGAGGTGGATCTGAGGATGAAGAATGCGACTCAGAAACATCAAATACATCCCTGGGAGAGAAAGAAGATAAGAAGGAGCAGGGGGTTGAGGAGAATGAGGAGATAAAAGGGGCAGAGTCCTGCAGCCAAGTTGTTCTGCAGCTATGGAGAGATTTCCGACAGTGTTATTCCTCCAGACAGCTGTTGTATTGGTCAATGTGGTGGGCGATGGCCACGTGCGGCTATAACCAGACTGTCAACTATGTACAGGTCAGTGTCAAAGTCAACAAAAATGTCAATTGTCTATCAAAAGCTTGCATTATGAGAGCTCCTGTTAAATCCTCTAACAAAAAAACTTAAAAGTATGGAGTATGAAAAGAGATTGACATGTTGCACAAAGGTTCGGTGCCCCGGTAAGAAAGATATTATAGTGAAAGATTTGTAATCTGTGTGTATGTGATCCAGGTGCTGTGGGAGCATGTGCAGCCCTCTCAGAACTTCAGCATTTACAATGGAGGTGTGGAGGCAGCGTCAAACTTGTTAAGTAAGCAGAAAACAGAAAGAAGTGAAACCGTTGAAAAATAGGAGCTTGGGAGATAAAGACATACCATCTTATTATCAAATTACCATATTTGTAGTCAGGGAAACGTTGATCTGGTGTTTTCCAGGTGCAGCAACTGCCTATGGCATCGGCTTCACAGAGGTGAGGTGGGAGCAGTGGGGGGAGCTGGCACTGGGTGGCTTCTCCGGCCTGGGAGCTGCTGCATTATTTCTCATGACTTTCACTGGAAACATCTGGGTCTGCTACACCACCTACACCATCTTTAAGTGCCTGTACATGCTGTTGATAACAATAGCCATGTAAGACTTATCATTTTGTTCAAGGCTATTTTGTACTGTATAAATGTAGCATTAGTAAACAGAAAAAATGTATTCCTGCAAGGTATCAAATTGCAGCCGACCTGACGATGGAAAGGTACGCTCTGGTGTTTGGGGCCAACACCTTTGGAGCTCTGCTTCTGCAGACAATCATCACTTCTGTTGTGGTTGACAGTGGAGCTCTAGGCCTTCCTATCGTTCCTCAGGTAAGCAATCTGATCACAAAACACAAACGCTAAGACTTTGGTTTTACTGATGCACTCTGGTGGTTGTGTTTTCTTTTGCAGTTCATCTTTTATGCCTGTTACTTCTCAGCCATCTCTGTGGTGTTTCTGCTTCGGGGAATATTTGGCGTCTGTAAAGCACAGAGAATAAAAAAGGTCCAATCATCTTTAAATGGAAAGCAATCTGAAATCTGCGAGGAACATAAGTTCTGATATTGTAAATTGAGACTTAATTTTTTTTACCGTTGCCCCAAATTATAGAATAAATCACCCTTTTTTTCTTTTTACTGAAAAAAAAAAATATATATATATATATAACAATTGTCTGTGCAATGTAGGAGCAGCTTACATTCCATAACAGAAAATAAATTTCAGTAATTCAATTTAAAAAAGGACATTTAGGCTTACAGAACATGAAAATGCAAAATTTTAGAGACAAAACAAAAAAAAGCACTGAACTGTTGCTCATTAACCCAAAGTTTATACTTTAGAGAAAAGCAAAAAAATTTATTTGTCTAAAAGTCAAGGTCTTAGGATCTGGATGAAGAATGAAGTTGAAAACAATCCAGGTGAGTAGAGGTCCAGTGGGAAGTCTCCACAGTAACTAAAGGGGGAGACATTTTCAGCAGAACTTAGCACCTGCCCACACTCCCAAGAGCAAGTTTCCCTTTTTGAATTGAATTATTGAGATAAATGTACTTTCCAATTATATTATACTTTATTGAGAAGCACCTGTACATTTATAAATGAAAGCTTCAGTCATTTCATCTTATTTAAAATTCATTTTAATATATATTCTGTATATATTTACACATTAACTTAAAATTCTTTAATATCCCATGAAAGTGGTTTTTCAGTCCATCAGTCATTCTGCTTTCCCCCATGGGTCTGTGGTTCACTGTCATTCAAAAATGTTGGGACCGGGGTCTCTGTCAGCAGGGAGGGAGACGGCAGAACAGCCAGTTTGCCGTTCAGAGGCAGCATTCACTTGTTTTCAGTTTTCAGTCATTGACGTTTTTCCTTAGTATGAACAATTTACCCAAAAATATTCAGCACAAACAGTTTAGTTCTTTACAAATACAGAAACTGGCAGTACCCAAGCAACAGCCCTGTCTTAACAAATCTTATGTTATACAAATACTGATATGCACAAAGAGCTAACGACCTAAAGGAGAAAAACATATGTACAGTAATGCAGCATGATGAATGATATACTGTATGCAATAACTTAATTTTCATCCAGTTTGATTATATACGTTGTGGCTCAGGCCAGTTCACAGGTTAAGCAGAGGACAGAGGGTCAACCTCTCCCCTGGCACACGCCCTCTCTTGTTTTTCTAGTCACAGACACCGTCAGCGCCTCTGTCTTGCACATTTTTTAATTTGTGACAAACTGCGATAGAAAATACAGATTCTTACAAACATTGTGTTTTTAAAGCTACTGGTGAAACAAAACAGTGCAATAGGTGCAAGCGCGCCAGTTGTTGACTCTGTTGTGCAGCAGAAGAGATGGATTGCTATAAGAAGGGGTTGGTTGACGAGCCTCCTGCAGGATACTGAGCGGGCGGAGCGCCACCCTGGAAAGAGCAGAAAAACAGAGAAAATACAGAGGAGGTCAAAGTAGCATAGAAATTACTACGGCCACATTCAGCAAATTAGAACCTGGGATTTGATGAAGCCTGGTTGTCTGATTAAAATAAATAACATATACACATATATTAAACATATTTTTCATTAAGCTCACATTTCTGTGTTTGAAGAGTTTTCTTTATTGGTCTGATGTAATAATCTAATTGTATGTGTATTTTTTTTGGTTATCACTTATAAGCAAAAATAAAGGCTTTAAAATGTTAGTCTTGGTGCATTTATAATGTGTTTTTTTGAGTCTGTCGAGTTAATGACAAATTAACTTTCCAATAATATTCTAATGTATTTAATTGACTGAATATATCTTTTTTTTTTCAAGCAAATAGTGACGTAATTTAGCCTACAAGTGATATCTGGCACATTTACAAGATTCAGCCATGCATATTGATGCGGAATATGCATAGTTATCATTTTAAAATAACTAAAAATTATCGTGTGGTATTTTTTTGTCTACCAAAAGAGATCTTGCTGTACTAACCAGAAAAGGGTTGTTGGGGACCAAAGGGGCTGCCACCGGCTGTCCAAACGGAGTCACAACAGGCTTCGTCTGGCCAAAGGCTGGGAATCCCCCACCTGATACGACAACAACACTGCTGTTAATATACCAGAAAACCCCAAATATACAACAGATACAATAAAGCTAAGAATATTTTGGTCAAATTGAAGCATTTAGATGAAAAGTAACAAAGACTGAGTATGTGAATTACAAACACACCATTGTGTTGTTGAGGAAACGCTGGAGGCTGAGTGAAGGGAGGCTGGCCAGGAAAGGGTTGCTGGAATGTTCCACTGAAGCTGGTAGGGAGATTGTAGGCGGCGGCATTTCCAAATCCTGATGGCATACTCATGGAGCCTGTTCCAAAAGGTGCTGCTACACGGCAGAAAGCAACAGTGTAGAAGACCCAAAGGGGTTTAAAAGGTTAAAACAAACGTTTTCTGCTTCATGTTAGATTTATTTTTAGGACACACAAGCATGCTCATGAGCTATAACGATGCACAAACAGTATGCAGAAAAATCAGCTTGTGAGAATACTGTCTGTCCTCCGTCATCTTCACGATGTCCTAAAGAGATTTTCTGTCAAATTTAGTTCTCAGCTATGGATAAGTCATCAGAAAGATTTAATTGTCATCTCCAAGTCATTGAAAAAGAAAGAACTCAATGCTACTCTCAGACTTTATAACACTAAAATCAATCAGACATCTAAAGCCTTTCTGAACTGATATCAAAATGCAGGCTGCTATGTCCTAACGAGCTCTTGACGATTGTTTCAGAAAGTAACAACCTTTGAACTGCTCAGAAAAAAATGGATCAAACCCAGCAATCCTGGTGCTCTCATGGGTCATCGCTTTCTCCAGCCCTACTTCAAATCCCATATCAGATCTGCCAAAACTGCTTTTACAATGATGCAATCAATGCCAGCAAGAAACTCTGAAACTACACTTTGCATTCAAGACTAGTCCTCCTCTAGCCACAATTTTCTCGACAGAAATTACTGCTATTTTCTTTATAGTGAAAGAATTGACCATCACCCAGTTATTAAGGTACATATTCCCAAAGCTCTCTGTAGGAGCAGGCCATCTACAAGCCAAACATTGTCACCTCTAAGACCTACTTTCTGAAATCTAATCGGTGTGCAACATTTTAGTCATTTGCTGCTCACAGAGTACGTTTTTAAAAGCATTTGGCTTACAGTTATGACCATTAGATGTGGCTCCCTGCAACATTCTTCATTCAACAACTGTAGTCAGTGCATTGTTTTTTTCACATTTGGTAATTATTATACTATTGATATTCTTATATTGTCTCTGAGCTCAAGCAGAGCCCTCAGTTCTAAACTGATTTGATTGCTGAAGCATTAAAGTGGATTTCAAACATCTATAAGCTCTAAAATGTGTGTTACATGCATTGGACATTTTAAATATCACCTGCCTTTGAATTTAAAGTTAAATGATCTGAGACACAGAGGGGTGCTGCAAGGCCTCTTCCTTTTATAAAATACATTCCCTTCTTGGGTCTGCTTCTTTGCTAAATTACCAATTGTAATCAACATCAATATCATCTCATTGTATAGATGGAGGTTAGAGCACCACATTCCTGCAACACAGCAATAATAGGACTGACTCTTCCATAAAACTAATGAAGTATTTAGGAACAATACATTAAGTACTAGATCTGTAGATGACCAACACAGACCAAGTATCACCTGCCAGGTCCCTGTAGGTCACCTAGTAAATCCATGGTTATCTTTCATCCTAACTAATGCAATTCTCTTCGAGTAGTTCCAGCAGCATGCAAACTCAAACAGATGATGCAAAGTGCACTGGTGAATCTTCTGTATGTCACACAAAATAGCTTAGTGCTTAATCAAAATATAGCTAACTTAATGACTGCCATTGTTTTTTTAGCTAATATTAACAATTAAATAGAAACAAGGAAATAATTCAGGATGAAAATGAAGTGAACATTTCACTTCATTTTCAAGTGAAAAGTTGAAAATGAACAACAGTTAGTTTCGAGGTGAAACTAGAGTTTAAAAACAAAGGAAAAATTTTTTTGCCACAACAAAAGGCCTTATCAAAATATACAACTCTTGCTTCTTCAGCTAATTAAGAAATATATTTATGGAAAGAAATATTAGTCACTGTCAGCTCACAGCACACAAGTAGAAAGGTAAGCAAACGCCTCATAGTGACCTACCAAAGGTGGGGGTAAAACCCTGCCAATGAAGGGCACTCATCAAGCCTGTCCAGCATGATAAAAATACTCAGTAAATCTCACATTCTGGATTTTACATATTGCTTTATCCTGTAAGCAGAGAATGTAAACACTAGTGTAACTGTCTTCTTACTTTTTCATTCAATTTAGAATATTCCCATCTGCTCTAACTGCTAAATGAATCTTCAGCAGACTTGCTGAATAGTTCACTTGCTGTTTTTCATTTTTCCTCACATAAAGCATTTAATCCCTACAGCTATACATGATAAGAAACAGAAATCACAGATATAAGCACAAGAACAGACCTGCTGCAGCTGCCACACTCGCCGCTCTGCCGTTGCATTGGAATGGGTTGGTGGGAGCTGCTGCAGGGGCGACACCAGCAGCTACAAACGGGTTAGTTGATGGTGCTGCTGGAATAAAAGGTCAAGTTACAACATGTGAGAAGAAGGCAATACAGAAAAAGAGAGCAAGCATGTGAAAAACTTGAATTCTAAAGAATTCCAATATTGGAACATACATCTTAATAAAACAGTATTGATCTGTTGAATTATAAGAAATAACAGGCTTCAAATAAAGTAAGTAGATAATAAAGCTCCCAACTGTGGTTTTACATAAAAAGCCCGGCAGCATATTCACAAATATCAAAATGACAATGTACAAAATGAGACAGGCAAGAGATTTTCTTTAACGATCTTGTGGACTATGAGGAAAATACAGAAAAAAGGTATTATCTGCAAAGAAATAGGTTCACTTAAACTCCCATGCAGTCAAGAACTGCTTTTGAATTATGTTATGGTATCAGCAATTTGAGCTTGCAACTTATGATCCTTTTTTTTTATATAATTACTGTATGTACATAAAGAAAACAGATTCACTTACCTCCAAAACCCTGAGGCATACCGGGTATCACTTGCTGTGCTTGTGCTGAGGCAACTGTCTCTGAGCCAAAGACATTACTGTAATAACAGCCAAACAAGAGCCTTGTGTAAGAAAGAAGTGCATCTTCTAAAGACTGCATAAATCTAAATTTTATTAGACTGCTACATCTTTGTTAATAACTGCATATTATTCAGATCTATTAAATATCAAATTGGTATGATTCGTAATCAGCTGATACACTGAATTTTTAAAATCAGGATCAGATAAAAACATAATCCATAAAAGCCATTAAACATAAAAACTTCTTCATATACAACATGCATAAATAAAAACACAAATGCACACAAACAAAAAACATCAAGATGGTTGCACACATACATACATACACACACACACACACATATATATATATATATATATATTAACCAGTGCCTTTCTGGAACCAGTGAGAAGTTTGTGTTCTATTTTACCCTTGGGAAGTGCTAGAGGTGTTGTAAACACTGGTGGCAGGTGCTGATGGGCTGAAGACAGTATCGAGCTCTGCAAGAGCAGCATAACGGTCGCCCCCAGCAATGCCTGCTAAATGCTTCTGAGGCAAACCAGCAACTCCTGCTGAGGCTGCAGCAGCAGCAGAGCTCACACCTCCAGCAATACCACCCCCTGAAAGAAAAGCACATGAGAAAAGAGCAGGGTTCAATTCACCTCGCAGGATAAAAAAAGTTTGTCAACTCTGAAAGACATAAAACCAAAAGGTCCCAAGAGCTGCCATATTTAACCTATTAAAATGGGGAACAATAGTCAGTTATTGGCAAAAAAGTGAAAATATTTAAAGAAAATAAACTAAAATCAGCCCGAACCAACTCAGAGATGCTTCAGTGCCAGAATTGGACCGTGTCATTCAAACATGGTACTTTTTAGAGTGAGGACAAAAAGCAGCAGCATCTGGTCTTTATTTAGGTTGCTTCAGTGTCACGAAGACCAGAGTAATGCTTATAAAAAAAAAAAGCTTTCAATGAAATTGCTAATTGATTGATCATATTTCAATGTTTCAATGTTGAACATGTCAAAATTAGTACAACATTATAAAGAATTCGCCCTTATTTTAAAGCATCTGTGCATGACCCGGCCTGGACAAAAAATAAAACCTCAGGGGTTCAATCCTTGAGAGCATAAGCAAATTCTTTATTGCTTTTATATGATGATCCTGTTGTCCTGGCAGCTATAATCTACAAAATAGGCTGGGCCATAAAGGTTTACCTTCCTCTGTTTTGGCAGAGCTAAACATGTTATCCAGGTCAGCCAGGGCTGCGTATCTATCGACGGGAACGTTAGTACTCTGTACAACGTCTTTGTCAGCTCTTGTGGAGTTACTCTGGGAGGAGGAACTGAAGGATCCAAAGTCAGCACTACACGATTTGGGGAAGTTGTCAAAATTTGCAAAATTGGCATTTGCTAGTCCCCCTGAGGCGCTACCTGCATGGAAGAGAGAAATTAGAAGGTCATAAGGAAAGTCTTGATTGGAAATTTTCAAGACAAAAGATCAGAGCAGAGTGGTAGGGGGGAGAAGTGTGTGTACTGAGGGTACAGTGTGAATTGAGCCATGCTGAGGAAGGGAGACCAGCGATACTTGGGGAAAAAAGTGAGCAGTGTTCGCCCACAATAACATTATGGTTATTTTTTTTGAGCCTCTGTCAGACATGGCACCTGCATTTTAGCTCTTAGATACGGGAAAGATTTAAAAAAATGCAATTTAAGAATTGTGGCATAGCAGGGAAAAGAACTTGACAAATGCCTCAGAAAGAAAAGGACATTAAATTGAACAAAGGGAAATACTGGTACAACTTAATATCAACAAAGATGCTTTTTTCTTTCAACATGTATTACAGAATAAATTGTTAACCCTCGACCTTTTGCCAGTAGCAATTCCCTTCTCTTCATTTAATGCATTGAAACCATTGGCACACAGAATAGCACTCTGTGTGCCAATGATCCAATTGGTCAAAAGTATAAATAAACTGCAAATTGTTGGATCTTATAGTTTTTCAATGCATTCACACATAGTGAATAGATTCACACACAGCATCATGTTTGGGGAAACATTGAATGTAACAATGTTGGTTTTTAAAAAGTAACCTTTAACAGAAATGTATTCTCCATCAAACCTGATAGATCATGTTTTGCTTATTGTGTGTTTTTCTGACTTCAGCATGTTCTAATGAACGTTTTAGACAAAGTAGTTGGATTAAAACTTTCAAACAGCAAAGGAACCCAAGGAGACTGAGCACAAGATGATTTCAGGAGCTTGTTACAAAATCCAACGGAACCCAAAACAGCAAATACACCAGGTTAAATTATTTTTGTATAGTAAAATGAATAGCAAGGTACTAAGAGTTTTTGAAAAACACTAACTTCTTTTTTTATAAAGTAATGCCAATGAATCAGTAGAACACACTTGTACAATTATTGTTGTTTGCTTTCCCCAGGGTGAACTAACCAAACACTGTTCAGCTAATTCAGAGGTTTCAAATTCTATCTCTCACAGTTTTGTTATCATTTAATGCCAGAACTCTCAACCTAGATTTCCAATAATCAAACAAAAAAGCAGCAACACGGGCCACAAGTTATGTTGAGAAAAAAGGAAAGTCAGGTGGACAACACATCAGAGATGATAGAGCTGTTGTGAGGGCAAGCCCAGAGAGACTTACTGTGTGAACTCTGGAGAGGCAGAGCAGCGGTAAACTCACCCACACTGCGGCTGGATGAGAGCACAGTGAACGCTGGCAGACCGAAATCAAAGGAGGGAAAATGGAGCAAAAGATGACAGAACAGAAATTACATAACCAAAAAAGTGGTGAAAATGATAGTGTTGACATGAATGTATAGGTACTACAAGATGGACAGATAGTTGTTCACTTTGTGACAAAGACAGCAATGCAGAATAAAAAAAAGTAAGAGGTTTAACAGAAATGACAGAGACCAACTCACACAGACAGACAACCAACACGTCCACTAGGGGGCAATGCAGCACATAATAGCTTCCTGTAGCACGTTTATCTTTGTACAAGTATGTGAATGAGAAAAAGAATTCATTCACACACTCTTGAAAAGCATGCTGTTATTTTATTTTGTATGCAGAAATTTTGCAGAACTGACTGATCAGAAGGCTTGGTAAGCTGATTATATGTTAGGTCAGCCAAAGTGAACAGAAATAAGAATTTCTGTTGCCTCACAATATGCAACTGGTAAACAGCTTATTTTTATTTAGCGTGTTTGCCTTTGGGAAACAATTCCAATTGTTTAGTGTTAGTGTGGAAGTGAGCTTTCTCTACCTGTATTTGGAGGCTGAAATGACGCCTGTGGTGCAGGGGTGTTCCCAAACGCATCAAAATTTGCAAATCCTGCCCCTGCGCTGACATTCTGTGCTGCTGCAGGTGCTGATGAGGTGATATTCAGATGGACAGATGAGCAACAAAGAAAATAAAGAAATAAAAGTGAACTTGGATAACACAAAATGGGTGACTGCAATGGATATTTATGAGCTACAGACATTTGAACTTTCCAGTGTTTCTACATGCATTATGAATTAATCAATGCGTATATTTGTCAGTGATTTCCATGAGAAGATTTGTGGATGTCACTACAGCTGCTGAAGAAACATTTGATTCTCGAAGGGCTTTAGCTGTCAGGAGGCAGGAGAATCCAAGTTGCTTAAAGTTCAGAGAGAAGTTTCCACTGTCAGAGGTGATTTGGGACTTGAGCTTTCTAAAGTCCAAAGTCAGCAGAGCTGTTACCGGGAAATTTCAGAACATCTCACGCTTCCCACTTCTGCAAGGCTTTATACAGACTCAGATTTCATTATCCAGCAGTTCTTGGCACCTGCCCAAACTACTAAAAGTGCCTATGTCTGGTTTAATGACCATGGTATCACAGTGCTTGACTGGTCAGCAAACTTGCTCGACCTAAACCCCATAAAGCTTGTACAGAGTACCATCAGGAGGAAGACAGGAGACACCTGAACCATCAGTCCAGATAAGCTGGAAGACGCTTCTAAAGGTTTCCTGAAAACTTGGCAGGGCAACAGGCTGATGTCATGAAGCATGTATGCAGTATTCATGCAAACAGAATTATAACAAAATATCAAGGACATACTATGCAGTACATGGACTACTTTTATGTGGTTCAAAACATTTATTTTCTTTCCTAATTAAAATTTTCCGAAAACCTGAATTTTGAGTTTAATTTTAACTCATAATAATGAACATTACAAATATAATGTGCAATCAGTAATGAATCAGTATTGTATTAACTTAACATTTTCATTCAAATTACTTAAATATCTTTTGAAGAATATTGCAACTTATTGAGACGATGTTCGCTGGGCAACCTGCTTCCCAGCCCACTCTTTTCTTCTTTTTTGAATAAAACTGTAGAAATGAATCACTATCTTCCTTTTTTATCTGTCTGTAAGGAGTAGTGATCACACCATAAAAAACCCAGCAGTTTCCAGAAGTACACCATGTCCCACAATAGGCAGTCAATATGATTTGGAACAGCAGGAACCTTTTTTTAAAGGTATTTGTTTTATGCCATCAGACCAGGTTCCTCTTTTTGTAGCAGCACAGCAAGAACAGCATCCAACTGTACTTCTGAGAAATGCTTTTTAGAAACATTTTACATAAAAAACTTTGGTCCAAGAATAAGGAAAAAAAACACTGATGCAAACCATTTGGTAACTGGTCAAAAACATTGCATATATCTGTTCAGAAACAGAAATGCCACTAAAGATTAGTCAAAAAAATTTAATTCACGAAAAAAAAGCACACAGCTTTCGTATTGACATCATCTTACTAGTCATTGTTGGGCATGGACTCAAAGTTGTCTACCAAATAGACAACTTCTTTTGATAGTCCTATAATTGAGATGATAGCATTAAAACATCTGAGTTTTTTCTGTGCATTTATACATCAGTTATTTTTGCTACCAATAACTAATTAAACATTTTGATTAAATAAATCAGTGATTAGTTGGATTCTTACTTGTGTGGCTGTTAAAATGTGCAAAGTTAGCAAAGCTGGAGCCAGGGGCTGAGTTCACATTGGCTGGGGCTGCAAAGATGTCTCCACCCAAGTCACTTAGGAGGTCAAACTTTTTTTCATTGAACTGCTGTTGATGATGTTGCCCGCGGCTCACTACTGGAGACTGTTGGAGACAAGAAACACAAATGGGGAAAAAAAATAAATGAATAAATGGTTTTTTGCCATGTGCACAACATTAAAAATCGGGTCTGGCTGGCCAAATAAAATATCATTTAAATTCTTGTAAAGTCTAATTTCGAGCTCACAGGAAGGAGCAGGTAGAGTGAGGAAAGTCGGATGCACAAATTATAGGCAGAAATCAAGCCAATGGCTGCAGTCATCAGCTGTTGGAAATTGCTGGAGCTAATCACTAGACTGAACATACAAGTAAGAAATCTATCATTGAAGCTCTTGATGAAGATCTTCCGAAGTTCTCAGAAAGTGTAACATTTGTAAACTAGCAACAGACCCAGTCAAATGTACAAGTGTCTCACAAAAGCCAAGTATTTTCTGTGACATGTATCTATGACAGCACCAAATGATTATTTTCGTAATTGCTTATTCTATTTATTATTCTGACTATTAATCTTTTTTATACAATATCTAAAATATATTAATACATACAAGAACACAAATAATTCTATTACTTTTTAATAAATAAACATTTTATTGCTGGAAATGTAAGAACACCATTCCTTTAGTACAGGCTAAATCATTTGTAGCAAAGAATGTATTTGCAGGTTAAAAAAATACTTCCAACATCAACATGTGAAAAGATTCACTGCTTTTGCTTGACTTAACATCAATAAAGTGTAGCAATAATCTGTTGATTAATTTTTGGGTTAACCAATTACTAATTGGATAGAAAAAGGTGCTTGATAGGAGATTTTGTTTCACAGAATTTGAACCAGGTGAAGCCAAAACTGAACTACTCAAAGGGTTATGGGACTTTAATGCAAAATATTTTTGTGCAGTTTTGCCTTAATTACTGAGAGTAAACCTATATAAGTTTTTGGGCTACAGTTTACTTTGATAACAGGGGTGAAACTTATTTTAGTTTTGTTTAAGTCAGGCACTACTGTTTTACAGTAAAGTGTTTGTATGTATGTGTGTGAAATATTCACCTGATTTGGTGGGGTATTCTTAGTCAGGTGCAGACTGGGGGCCGAATCCCCCAGCAGTGATTTAAGCGGTCTGACCTCTGGGGTGCTGTTGGTGCTGCTGTTCGAGGAACCAGAGATGGAAGCATGGACCGATGCCACAACCTTGGCTTGTTCAGGAGGCACATACCTTGGAAGAAAATAATGTATGCATCACATTAATGTTAAACTATCTAAACCAATAATATATTAAAAAAATCAAAGTTGATGGAAACTTTTAGCTCAGAAATAAAGACAACAGTATTCTGTAGAATAGTATTTTTTCAACATGAAGGTTTATTTAAAGATGTGTGAGCAGATTAACTGTGATTATTGGACAAATAACATCTGTAACTGTAAAGGACCGTCACTGCTATATGATTTTGTGTCCAATTCAAAAAAATACATTTTTGTTCCAAAAGGGCATGCTGAGGCATGCAGTGGTATCTCAACTGCTCTCATTTTGATCAGTCTTCAGAGAATAAACATCTGAAGAGGAGCTAAAAATAATTCTTTCATGATCAGGTGTGTTCGCTCAATGAAACGTCTCAACCTGCATCTTATTTCTCTCTGTAACTGCATAAGTATTCATTTTAATGTTACTTTGCTTTTCAAATCTAAAATTAAAAATGACCTTAATCTTGTTTGCATTTAATAATATGTCCTGTTAGGCATAACACTGATATGAGAATAATCCTGACTGGGCTAAAGAACAAATGTCTCATTTGAATTCATCATTTACCTTCTTGAAGTCACTATTGCATATTTAGAGCAGCTTGTCTGTAGCGACCTACATTCAGTGCACTAAAGGAGGAGTGTTTGGTAGCTTGCTGGAGGCTGAGTGCTATGAGCTCCCTTTGAGACATTCCATACCAGAAATAAAGGGAACTCAAAGACAAGCTGCATGTCAGCACAGTTCTCAGATCTGTTCATTCAGATCTATGTACAACCAATGTGAAAAGCTCACTCACCATCTCTTCTTCTCATATTTCTCTTGAAGGAACTCCTTGACTTTCTGTGGTTCTCTGAAGTCTGGTACTGATGAGGTTCTGTCGTCATAAAGACCGAGCCAGATCTGTTTACATACCTGAAACATATCAATGCAGGACAGTTATGTCAGCTTACAAATTTATTTTATAAACTCTACTATACAATATTAATGGATTGTTAACAAATTGAAAATTATGCAAAAAAAAAATAAAAATAAAATACTGAACCACCCTGAAGTAACTAACTATTTTAACTGCTCAATTCTTATGTATTTTAACAGACCTATTTTACAGGTCTGGTATTGAACAATTGAATAAAAAGGAACTGGAGGACTTTTTTTATTTATGTTAAGTTGTGGTCATATTACATCCTATTGAGAAAAATGCTGACTTGACAGCTGTCTAGGAAACATTTAATGATACCTCCATAATAAATGTAAACCAGAAACCGTTTTTAGTAAAAAGTCTGAAAGTTAAGAAAGTTAAGTGGAAGGAAAAGGAGTGAAAGAAACAAAGACAAATGAATAGTCTGTGAAACAAAATCAGGGTGAAGTTTCCAGAGGCCATGATTATTTGGTAAGCCATTTCATCAGCTGCTGTTAGTCCATCTTTCAAAAATCCAAAGTCAGCAAAACTGTCTAACAGGAAATTTTAGAGCACTGCATGCTTCCTTCTGCTGACAAGCACTATGGAGATGTTGACTTTATTTTCCAGCAGGACCTTGCCACACAGAACGTCACTGTGCTTGATTTCACAAATTCGCCTAACCTAAACCTCACACAGGATCTCATACAGAAAGAGCTCTGGTCCAGAAACAGACGAGACATTGGACCTAACAATGCACATGAACTGAAGGCCACTATTAAAGCAACATGGGTTTTCTTAACACTGTAGCAGACCTGCAGGCTGATCACTTTGATGCAATGCAGCATTAATGGAGTAATCCAAGCAAAAAGAACTGAAGACGTGTACGATACAGGTCACACACATACTTTGCAATTGGGGTAGCTGGTATTAAAAATCTTGTTAATTTGTACAATATTCAAAATTTTGCAGAAACCTAATTTTGAGTTCTCATCAAGTGTCAGACAAAAACATCGAAACAAACAGAAATAAACACTTCGACTACACCAATCTGTCTGGAATGACACTCCAAAAAAAAAAAAAAATCTGTTTTCCACTGATATTCTAATTTACTAAGATGGACATGAAGTAACAGTGATAAAACCAACAAGATCTGAATGTCAAAATTCATGATGCAGAACACAAAACAGCATGAAGGCCAAGATACGACAGCTGATGGTATTTGAATCCTAGTTGTTGTATCAGTTTTTCTCTCTGGATCAAAGTTTGCAAAAATGGAATGAAAAAAATAGCAACATGATGGAGCAATTGTATTTACAGCCTGGAGGACACAAGCATCAATCCCAACCTTGAGTCTCCAGCATGTCTGCCTGCCTTTTTCTCCAGCTTGTAATAAACTGTGTCCCTGGTGGCACTGATCTATTTTATACTCCGTTTACCACAAATGTGATGACGGCCTTAATGAACTTTGGTTTTTCTGTTCATATTGTACTCCTCAATGATAGTTAAGCAGATAGGTACTTGAATGACAAACCTTTCATACTGAAACTCCATGGCATTTATTACTAAAAAAATTTGGTACTTTGAAGTATGGTTTGTTTATAAAACACAGACCATATGCTAAAACATTAAACAAATTTTTAACATATTGTGATGTCTGCCTTTAAATCAAGTGAAACCACAAAGAAACAAAGCCTTTAAGAGTAATTCACAGTTTTATGCAACAGAGAAGAATTCCACCACCCTTACCTCATTGCCATGTTTCTGTAGGAACTCGATTTCCTGTTGCGTGAATGTCGTCATAGAGATAGACTTAACTCTATGCGGTGGGTTCAGTCCTCGTCTGTGGGCAGAAAAATTAAACCAGGGTCAATTTGATGTCATGTCACGGTAAGCGAAACCATCATCTTCATGTGCTCTAAGGCCCTCTTCTTTGGATGGGGTTGTTTAATCAGCAACAAGCCAGCTTGTAGCACTGCACTCCATGCAGTGTTTAATACGCAAGATAGTCATTGTGTAATTGAGTCAACTGCAAGTACAAGAAAAGATAAACGCGACAAATGAATCACGGCATACAGGCAAAAAAGGAAGAAGAAATCAAAGGAAACGGGTGAAACATCTCCTGAACTTGCACTGACTGAACTCGGGTTGTCAGTGTAACTAAGCAATGAGTAATATTCCCTAATATGGAAACTATGAAGGAGTGACATCCGTTATCACACACAAACCTCGTTCAGAAGGTCAGAGGTGAGCTTCTAACAGTTAGACTAAAGGGTCGTCACCAGGCAGGGTTATTGTTTTGAGTTAAACCAAACTAATATGACTGTAAGGTCATTGCTGTTTGTCTTTGAAGCTGATCACAGAACATTTACTTAGACAAGCAAAACATTATCTGTGACTTAAGGGCACAGACATCAGAGCCAGCAAACAAATAAAATGAGTTTATTTTAAAAAGATTTAAGTAATCCAACATCAGGAATCTAACTACACTCTAGATGTTAAAATAGGAAATTTAAAAATTTCCCAAATTTGGACATTTGCCTGCATTTCTATGATGTGCCACAGTTTGAATTGAAGGTTTCTAATTTTACTTATTTTTTCTAAAATTAAAATAAATAAACAGCTTTGTGCTATTTTTGCTCTTGTCTTTTATAACTTCTATTCTGAGGAGTTGTCTGTGTTTTGATTCCATGCAGTGTTTAATACGCAAGATAGTCAAAATTGTTCAAAGTTCATTAGTGGCCGACAACCAGTTGTCAATATTAAATTAATCCTTGTTTTAGATGTAGATACTTTGGACCTTTTAAGTGAGAAAAAAATAATAATAAATCGTCACAGATGTCTAGGAAAAAAGAATCTTAAGTTTCACAGTTACGCTGTCACACTGTTATGCACAAAGACAAGCCAAACCTGGAGTGAAACACTAGACCAAGGTTGCTAAATTATTGACAGGCATTAACTTTCTCAGAACTTTTCATCTCGCTCATTCTTTTCACGTTCAGTCAGCTTGACTCACTATTACTCAGTAACACAAAACAGAAATAACAGGCAGCTTGGACAAAGAAAATGTACTTGTGATATAATCCACAGACTATACTGTATACAAAACAACACAAGAAAGAGAGAGAGAATACCAGCACATTATCAACTTATATTCAGTTATGTCTTAATGAGACTTCTTGTGAAAACAGATAACGATTGACAAAAAAACGTGCAAAATTTAAATAAGTTAACTAAACCACCAAACCAAAGACTAATGAAATCGAAAAAAAAACCTTTCCAAAAGTCAATTTTGTTCTCATCTTGTTTTAAACTTTGAAAATGAGTCAAAGTGGACAAATGAAAAACTTATTTAAAAATCTCTTCAAAACAGGGAGAAAAGTGTGTGCTTCTCCTTACATGATACTTTAGCAATTCTTCAGCGCCTAAGGAAAGTAAACGATAAGATCCTATTTGAATCAAGATGAAACTAGGTCAGAAATGAAAAAAAAATCAAATTGCCTTAAAGGGTGAAATATGATGTGAAGATTTCTGCCCACTGAGGAATCTAAATCAGGTTACATTCACTTATCTTCTGTGGTTTTGCTTGCTAATTTTGTTCTCTGAAAAAGGAAAACATAATTTGCTTACAGTTATTGTCATAGCTGTTTATTTTTGTATGAGCCAACTGAAAGACACAAAACAGATATCGGTCTGAATTCCATCTATGCAGTGACATAAGGTAAAAGCCTTCCTTAACCTGATATGTGCTGTCTCACAACAGTGCGCGGCTTTTAAAAATGCAGTAGTACAGAGAAGTACAGAATACCACTGATTCTACCATCATAATTCTGCAAGCATAAGCAAAGACTGGTTCACATTTACAAACAAGCAGAAGTCCACCGGGTTTCCCTACATGTATACAGAGCAGCACGCACACTGTGTGCTAAAATGCTATCACATATTGTACAATAAAATAATTATGACCTTGTCTCTACTGTACACTGAATAGCTGAGCCAGAGATCTCAACTCATTTGCATATGGAAACAGCTCCAGGGTGAGAGAAACTGGCAAAACTAAGTCTCATAAGAGTGGAAAAGCTTGCATGAAGCCTAAATAACTGCTGAAGAGGAAACATTTAATACTTAACCTGTAGTTAATTGTTTTTTTGTTGTTTTTTTTTAACTCTTAAAGTCAAACTGAATTGTTTACATAAGCGTTACTTATGTTTTGCTCGAACATCGTAAAAAGATTACCACGTTATAATTTAAATAGTGCATGGCAGGTATTTATTATACTAGACATATTTGACACTTGGCCCTCCTTAATGCCGTCTTGTCGCTTTTGTATCCCTGCTTACTCAAGACAAGCTGACCGAGTGGGGTTCCTTCCTGCCAGCAGCAATTTACCAGAAAGAGACATTGTGAGCGGTGTTCCTCCTGGGAAGGTCCCCACCTTCGCCAGGAATGTGTTTACATAGCAGATTCCAACACCACCCATTAAATAACCACAACGAAAGAGGAAAATGTGTTTGTGTTCTGGCCGTCACCCCCAAAGAAGTCGAAACCATTAAATTGTCTGAACTTTATTTGAAACAAACAGACAAACAAAAATTAAAAGAAATCATTAGAAAACAAATCAGAAATTTACTTTTAAGCATCTGTTGGGATTCTATCTGCAGTAAATGTGTCTTTTAAATAAAATGTTTTGAAAATTGTGAAAGCATTTGTTTTACTTATATTAAACAAACTTTCACTCTAACCACTGATAGAAATAGCTTTTAATGATACATTGAGTAAACATGGCTCTTTTTTTCATTAAGAACTTCTAATAAACTCCTTGTATAAATGAAAAAAACATGTTGCAAGTTTTTTTTTTTTTTTTGATCAGGGATTACAGAACATAGTATAGCGAAATATGTTTTCTCTGTTGGGTGCAGTCTCTTTTTAGAGCCGATTGTTCCTGGTGTCCTCACTATAATGAGACATACAAGATCTCAAAGCATCGTTTAACCTGATCAAGCTCCTACTTACACCACATTGTGTGCATTAAATAGGCCTAGAGCAGCTGATGGTTGCCAGGTAACTGTTGGATATTTTATGACAGTGCTGCTTTTATAGTTAAAATCTTTGGTGCCGTTGTTCTAACACTAAACTCTGTTCATTCACAAATCACTTGTTCTACTGTACTTCTCTCATATTACAACTGTTAAGCAAGCTAACTAAGGTAGATCTAGCCAGAGCCACACCTCAAACATTAATGTCTGACACTCATTTCAAGGAATGGAATATTTGTGTGAACCATCATGGTCACATGTACTTTCCTGCTCGTCTGAAAACCCAGGTGCTCGTCTGCCCTATCACCTCACCAATGACAACATCTCCCCGTCACTTCCTGATGTATTCTGCAGTTGGTCACTTATCTGACTTGGACTGAAACTCCTGGAAGAAAATGTAAGGCAACTGAACGTAGAGGCAGCGTTTGTGTGTCATTAGCACAGTCAATCCAAATTTTGGAACTGAATGCTGCTTGCATAATTTGGCAAATAAGACTTTTCATATCTCACATTGCAATTGCAAAGTATATCCTACTCTTTCACAATGCTACATCACTGATCAGACATTATACTGGGGAACTCAAAATGAAAATAATTTAAAAAAAATAATTCCATTACTGACCAAATTTTTAGAATTTTTATTAATTTTAATTTCATAATTGTTTAATGCATAAACGCATAGGAAAATATTTTTAAATAACTAGAATAATCGGTTTCAGTCTCAACCTGATCGTAGGGCGTTCTCCTGGAAGTGATTTGTCGCTCCAACTAATTGAAAAACAGGAGAGACAGACAGTGACCTGCCGTCCCAGCCACTTCCTGTTGCACACATGCATCACATGCTGCTGATGTAGCAGCATAGTGGGGCCACACCACTTCCTGCGCCTACAATTACAACCAGTTTGAAGCACATCTTAAACACACAGGAAATAATTCATGAATACTTAACATGAGATAAAGTGTCAAAGATATGAATCGTTTTCTTCAGATTGAACTCAACATACAGTAGGTTGTATTGTTAATTACAGAACCACACTACACCTGTACTTCTACTGTAAGCCAAAATTATTTTTTGCCAACCTAAATCTAAAGAAAAACATAAAATTATTCATTTATCAAAATAGATATTGTTTCAATCTTTGAATGATAGTAACTTGGTTTTTAAAATAAATTTCTGTCAAATTTAAGATTAGATGCATTAACAAATATTTACAAAACAACACAGGAGTGCCATCTAAGCTCCTTATGAGTACAGCAAAGAAGGAGGAGCACAGACAACAAAAACAAGAAAAACGCTTGATTAAAGGGGCCTTTTTTTTTTACTGTGAGGTTTAGCTACTGCATATTGTTGGTGTCCCATACTGTGAAGAGACACTTGTCTAAATGACAACATATTACTAAAAATACAAACAAGTGAGTGAAGACGTCATATCTGTAACTGAAAAATAATAGAACATTCAAACTAATCTCACGTCTGAAGTTTACAGAAGCCTGGATTTAGAACCTAGCAGTTCCTTAAGTGACAGAAAACAAAAATCCAGCCGTACACCACTGAAATTACTAGTTTAGTCAGCATGTTTAAACTTTGCAGACAGGAGCTCGTGTGAGGTGCCTCGATCAGCACACAGAATTGAAATTCCAGTTGTGATTCTTGTCAGAGACAAATTCAGGGTTGAGAAACGTATTACATAAATACATTGTGACATCAGAACCGCTGCTCTCACAGTTATCGGTCACATCTCTAAATAACATGACATTTATACGCCCAGGTGTCAAGTTTACAACCAAAAAAAAGTGGCGTTCAAATCAATAACTAAAGGCTGCGTTGGTGCGGCTCTTTCTATAAAAAGTGCATGGTTGTCTAACTACCATTAGTCGGAATGGGGGCTTCCTAACGTTAACAGCAACTGGTAGCAGCATCTGGCTAAAGGCTTATCTGTAGCTCTAAGTGCAAGATAAGTTCACTGGCTAGCCCTGGAAGCTAAAGTTAACTAGCGTCGAGGGTGGTCGCCCTTTCGGTTCCATTGTGGGGGCACTGACAACTCATGCACCCCGCCCAACACAACCAGACAATGTCAGGCAGCAAATTCCACGCTCACCATAACCTATCTGGAAATATGTGTCTAATGTTAGCTTACATTAACAGCTTCGGTTAGCCCGTCATCTGACACTCTACATATCATATGCACAAAAGCTGTGGCTCACGTCTGCAACTTAATACTCACAAGATGCCAGAGCAGGAGGTACACACGAAAGAGCCCACAGTCATGTTGGCATAGGTTGGGCCGCGCTGATCACAGTCAAAGCACTTTCTATTGGGAGGCAAACTCGTCATTTCTCTCAGCATCTTCAGATGTTTCTCCTCCTGTTTTCGTTTCGCGTTCGCCGCCATGGTGAAAGACGCGCAACACGGGCAATTAAATGAGAGGCTGAGAGGTCAGCTACAACTAAAACAAAGGGCTGTGCTGTTTTAACGGCTGCCGACTCGCTGCTAACGGCAGATAGGGGCGGCTCTGTTGTCAGGGGTGGCCTGGCGTCTCCTCCAGCAAGGAGTTTCAGGATGCGCATCAGAGGAGACAAGAGGAGCACTGACACCTATTTCCGCTTTGGCACAAACACCGTTATTCTCGCCCTCGTTTTATCTCCGGGACAGTTTTTTATATATATATATATTACATATCTATCTTTTATGATAGATGTAGATTTATACTTAACCCAAGAATTAAAAAAAACGTGTTAGAACTCAGTTATTTAAAAAAAGTTTAATTTTACAAGTTAATTAAAAATGATTTTTGAAGAAAACCCGGAAATGTCTTTTTTTTAAATTAACTGTATTAATATGTTCTTCACATTATTTATAAACAGCTACAAATTTGGAGTTTATGGAAACGGATGTTCAGGTAAAAGAAGTTGAGAGTTGTCCAGAAATAATGATCGAAGGTTTCATCTTGCCGGTTGTATCTTTGACGAGCCTTTTTAACACACCAGCGCCACCGTGTGGATTAGGGTAATAACTGTGGTTTTACTGTACAGGCTGTTCTAGAATATCAGAAAATATTCCCAGAGAGCACAAATTAAGGTTAGTACAGCATTTTTAAAAAGAAAATGCACCTGGTAGTATTCGGTGAAATTCTTTGCTGTTCAAAAGTGAGAAAACATTCATTTAAACCAAAAGTAGCCATGTCCATAAACCTTTGTCACAATACACTGACAAAGGTATATTTTATTGAAATTGTAATTGTAACTGGCAAATTTGAAGTGGAAAGAAAAATATATTGGTTTTGCTTTAACTGTTATCTTTCATTTTGAATCTGAACAATACAATGTACAATACAATACAATATTTTACTCTGAAACCCTTCAGTACAACTCTGTTTACCCAATGGTCTTTGAAATTCACCTATTATGAATAGATGCCAGCTGTGTAATCGATTAATAAATAAAAACCACAATAAAGGACATAAGGAACACAGTAGGGTGGTTCTTGTCAATTCATCAACCAAACCTGCAAACTTAACATGTCATAGACATGAACATAAACCACCAGGCTGGGCAAAATGACCTTTAGTCAATTAAACATCTAAATCTATAGTAACTTTGGAGGGGCTGAAGAGATTCACAGCTCAGATGGGAGACTGTCAATTAACAACTTTGGACAAATACTTCACAAATCAGACTTTTTGCCTCTAACTTGAGTCAGATATTGTTAAAAGCAATGTAGGGGCAGCTAACATAAAAGAAACCCCTCTGGTCAGAGGGAGTTTTTATTGTCAAAGTGTTAAAAGCTGTGTGGGAGAAATGCAACACTCCACATCATCATGTGCACACAGTATCATGCTGTTGGAATCTGTTTATTGAGAAAGCAAAGCAAGCTGGCCACAATTGTTAGGGAACTAAACTGAGCTCACAGTGGGGCAATTCTGTAAATAAATCTATTGAATGTTCAACTTTCAGCATGAGGATGTCCCTAAATATATGCGAGCAAAGGTGGAATGAGTTTGACCAAAGTGTATCTATGTGAAACACACTTTAAAAAACTCACAGCTATAATATAAAACAAATCTGCTTTTTCAAAGTACCAACTTTTTGGAGTGCAATATAAACCCAAACGCTTTTCATACTTTTAGCTCACACGAGTTTTTAAATTATGCCCTATATTGTGTTGGTCTATCACATTAAATCCCAATAACACTGACGTTTGAGATTGTATTGTACCAAAAGTACGTAAAGGTTAAGAGGATTAACACTTTTGCAAGTCATAAGTTGTGTTAAGTTATTCATGTTCTTTCTGTCAGGATTATACTCACGATTTGACATTTTAACATTTCAGCAAACTGGCCTTATGACAAGTAAATACAAATGCCATCTATATTAAGCAGGAACTGAAAATGAACAAAATCAAAGCAAGCATACCTTCATACAAACATTTTATTAAATGCGAGTTATATAACAGTACAAAGCACACCACAGAGCAGCTGCATTATTTACAGGAAAGCCAAATGTCAGGTCTATTTCAGGCATTGTACTATTCTGACAGGCTTACACTTCTTATGTACAACAGATGACCTCTGGTGTTCTTATTTCTCTGTGGTAATGACATTTGAAATCCAAATATAGTAAATCCTGAACAGTGGACTCAAGTTTAATTATAACCTGCTGAAAGGCAACTTAGTCCCCTATTAGATTCATACTGATTTAAGATCCTTATTAACTTGTCAGTTGCTACTGGCTGACTGAAGTAACGTCCGCTGAAGCTGTTGTTGTGGAGAGAAGTCAAAGGGTCTGCGGTTCTCAGTGAAGCCATAAAGTTTGCGCAGAGCCACACGTGCCGCTTCCTCCTCAGCTCCAATAAGTGTCTCTCCTGGACCTTGAGCCAGGAGTTTTGTGCCACTAGATGAATCAGAAAATAAGCAAAATGTGAAAATGATGCATACGTAAATTATTTATATGAATCTCACATTCGAATAATAAATGTAGCAAAAACAGCCTGCATGATTGCACATGTACCTGTACAAGCCGACAAAGTAGAGCGGGAGGACAGTGCTGGCTCCAGCAGACCTGATGAGACGAGGTTCTGGCAGTGGAATATTTCTTTTTGAAAGTTCCTCCACCAGCACTCCCATTGGATTCACCACAGGCCACATATCAAACAGATCCTTTCCTATCAACTGAGTCAATAGGAAATCCTGTGGGGTAGCAGAGAAGATGGAGATGATGATCATTTACTATAAAATCAACCTTAAAACAATTAAATTAAAACAAAAAAAACAAAACAAGCGCTAACAAGTTCCTTACTCTGAGAAAGAATGCAGCATGCTCTGCTCCACTGCTTTCTTCCAGAGCTCCGATCACCGCCATGAAAGTGGACTTCAGCACCTCATCTGGAACAGGGAATTCTGCACTCATAGTAAGATCCTCTATGCCAAGATTTCTTGCAACATAAGTCACAACTGACGGACTGCTAAGATGCCCCACAATGCACTCAACCCCCTCATGTGGCAGACTCGGAAAGCTTGCCCTGCACCAGTCGGTCAGGAAGCTTTTAGTCAGGCCTTCTCCCTTTTTGCTCAGCTGAAGATTGTCTTTCAGAACCAAGGCCGTGGTCTCAGAGTCAACGTCCAGCTGTTTTCTCCTCTCCTGCTCCGCCTGCACGTAACACGGATTGACGAAGGCCGTTTTAAGTAACTGCAGTGAGAAGTTTTCATGGAGACGGGAACTGAAAGCCTGAACCTCTGAATGGTAATCCCAATTGGGCTGTTGCCAGCTGAAGGAGAATCGAAGAGAAGACAATGTTTTCAATTAATATCACAATGTCATTCGAAAATGTTGGCAAGATGAGCAACTCGACCTGCTGAAGAGCTGAAAATATTAGAAATATAATGAGCGTTTTATGAATATATAGTTTCTACAAACTAAAGCTAAAGAAGCAGACACTTCTTCTACCTCGTCATTCTTTTTTCCTACTAATAAAAACAATACCACATTAGGCTCCTGAACGAGTGGCCTTGAGATGCTCTTTAGCATTAGCTAAGTGTCAGGTACCGTGGTTTAGGCGGCGGAGGTCCTTCAAGCTTTAACTTCGTCGCCATAACATATGCGTAAGCTTTCATCCATCGTTTCTTCCCCCTAACCTGTGTTAGTGAAGGGCTTCTGGAAACGAGCTGGCACTGCAACCTAAATGTTAGCACGGCGCGGTTTAACATGTAGCCCGCCGCCATGTTTCCTCCCACCAGTGGAGTGTGTTACACTAATAAGTGTCCGACGCGAACTGAACGCTCTGTCGGCAGGTAACCATGGAAACCAACGTAAACCGTAATTAACGTTGACAAACAAAACGGATTGCCAGATAATTTTCCGGTTTGACCATCAACAGCCGGCGCTTCACTACATTTCCGCAACTAATACATTTTTTTTTATTTCGTCTGCAGATTTATTTAAGTATATTTTGGGGAAATTACACGATCGTGAAGAGGATGGACGATATGGTGACTACAGAAAACGCAACGGAAAGAGCGAACACAGATGATACTTCTGGCAGAAACGGATCAGGTGGGATTATAAAAAATACATTTGAAGAAAAAAATGAAAATAGACACCAGTGGCAGCCCTCAATTCAAGAGAAACACCAATCAGAGCCAAGGATGACCAAGAAGATCCTCCTTGACCTCTGCTTGAAGAACAAACTGTACTCCACACCTTCCTTGAATGACACACTGTACCTGCATTTTAAGGGTTTCTCCAAGATTGAGAATCTGGAAGAATACACAGGGCTCAAATGTCTTTGGCTGGAAAGCAATGGTCTCCAGAGGATTGAGAACCTGGATGCTCAGACTGACCTTCGCTGCTTGTTCCTGCACCAGAACCTCATTTGCAAGCTAGAAAACCTGGAACCCATGAAGAAACTCTGCACCCTGAATGTCTCCAACAACTACATCCACATGATAGAGAACATCTCCTGCCTTCCTGAACTCAGCACTCTACAAATATCCCATAACAAACTGGAGAGTGCGAAGGACATAGAGCATCTGAGTCAGTGTCTGGCAATCAATGTGTTGGACCTGTCTCACAATCTGTTACACGACCCTGAGGTTCTCTCCGTGTTGGAGGCAATGCCAGAACTGAGAGTGCTGAACCTGATGGGAAATGAGGTGGTGAAGAAAATACCAAACTACAGGAAGACCATGATTGTACATATTAAGCAGCTCACCTTCCTCGATGACCGACCCGTGTTCCCCAAAGACAGGGCATGTGCAGAGGTGTGGGCCAAGGAAGGGCTGGAGGGAGAGCGGAGGGAGAGGGCAGCATGGGTGTCACGGGAGAGAAGGATAATCCAGGACAGCTTGGATAATTTGGCAAAAATTCGTGAGAAAGCCCTGCAGAAAAAACGCCTGCGAGAATTGCAAGCGGGAGGTGAGCATTGTTCAGCTTTTATTTGAACAGTTATTTGAAAATTAAATGTTTAACTGTAGAATTACTTCCCTTTTAGGGAAAAATGAGACAGATCCTACTTCAGTGATGGCCAGTGAAGAAAACAACACAGAGACTTTGACTTCC